ACAGTGGGCTGTTCCCCTCCTGCAGCCCATGCCCCAGCCCTGCCTGCTGCATTGTCAGACCCTCTGCCCAGGGGAAGGAAGCCTGGCACCCTCCTTTAAGGCGGGGGGCTGGTCAGAAGTCCTGGGGAATCGTCCTTCAGCAGCGCTCCCCACACTGTTCCTCAGAGCACTCCTAACAGCTTGCCACAAATCAAGGGTTCCGTGACCGATCAAGTTTGGGGAACACTGTACACCATTATTGGCACCTTAAAGGCGCTGGGTTTTGGCTTCGACCCTGGGCACAGGGTCCCTGTGAGACCTTTCCAAGGTGCTCTACAGAGGCTGTCCACCAGGGAGGCCCAAGGGGGCGTGTGGTGGCCACTCAGCTGCTCTCTGTCTGCTCTTTGTTGAGAACTGAGGTCAAGGTCAACTTGTCCTTGGCTCCTGGGGTTTCCGGGCCAAGCCTTCCGGCAGCTGAGGCTTCTGCCGCCGGCCTCCCACGGAAGGGCCCCCATTCTCTGTGCTTCCATAAGAGGCATCCCGGAGGGGGGGCGGGAGGGGCGCCGACATAGGGAGACCCCGCAGCCACCTCGGAAAGGGGCCCGGGCACAGGGAGAGGCTGCCCATTGTCCCTTCACACAGCCCAGTACAGAGGACCTGAAGGGCTCCGTCCCCTCAGCAAGGCCCGAGGCCTGGAGATGCTCCCCTGGGAAGGCTCTGCTTCTCTGAAGAACCCTGACTAATACAGTGGATTACCAATGTGTGCAGGCAGATTTGGGGACAGAAGATGAGCAGGAGATGGGACCACAGAGCAGAGATTGGAGTCATGTTGCTACAGCCATGGAATGCTGGCGACCTAGAAACTGGAGGAGCCAGGCTCAGCATCTGTGCCGCCTGCAGGCCGGCCCCTGAGTGTGCAGCCGTGTTCTGGGGGTCGAGGGGTAGGGGCGGGGGGGGGAGGCCTGTCTCTGCCAGGTGACAATAACCTCCTGGGCAGGGGGGTGCGGCAGGGCCCGAAGTCTGGAACAGGCCGGAGGCAGAGGGGATTCCACACAAGGGGATGGGTGGGCAGCAGGTGGGCACCTGCCAGGGCTCTGACAAAGCGAGGGTGACAGTGGGCTGTTCCCCTCCTGCAGCCCATGCCCCAGCCCTGCCTGCTGCATTGTCAGACCCTCTGCCCAGGGGAAGGAAGCCTGGCACCCTCCTTTAAGGCGGGGGGCTGGTCAGAAGTCCTGGGGAATCGTCCTTCAGCAGCGCTCCCCACGCTGTTCCTCAGAGCACTCCTAACAGCTTGCCACAAATCAAGGGTTC